GCCCCGCCCCGCCACAGGGCAGTGCCCGACATTCCTGTCTAGCTGCCTAGCGTCTGATTAGTCCGGTCCGGTTCCTCGAGTCCTGAGCAGCACGCTGGCGCCGCCGCCGCCGCCTATGCCTATCTATCCGCCTAATCTATTTCCTCTCTGCGTCTATCTCCTATTCATTCTGCCGCTATCGCCCGCACTAGAGCAGCTCGTCGAGCTTGGTGGCGCCGCCGCCGCCCACTGCGCGGCGTCGGCACAGCAGCAGCAGCTGCGGTAGAAGCAGCAGCAGCAGCAGCAGCAGCAGAAGCAGCAGCAGCAGCAGCAGAAGCAGCAGCGAGTATGATGCGCGATTTCTCTCTCATCGCGTTGAATTGAGCCATGAAGTTTTTGGGCCTCAACGCCTCAACCGACCATCCATCAGGCATACCGCCTCTCTATGGAGCAGGCACGGGTACCCCAACAACTCGCCCACAACACGCTTTACTACCGATGCTCTCGGTGGAATGGAATCCTCGGCGCTCTCCTCCACCGCCGCCACGGCGTGTGCAGACTGCTGCTGCTGCTGCTAATGATGGGTGAGAATGCTGCAGTTCTCACTAGCGCTGCACGAGTCCTAGACTAGAGCCCTCTGGCGCGCCACACAAGGACCGTGATGGCAATAACTACTGTACTGTAAACAAACTAGCACGCCTATGTGACGTTCAAAGTGCGCTGCACTAGTCACGCACTCTAAAAATGCATCAGCGACCAATGTTCTTGATGACAGTACAGTATACTGTTTTGTCACGCCTCACCAGAACACGACTGCTCAATCGTCGAGTAACAGCAGGTGCATCACGGTGGTTGTGCTTTTCCGATAATTTCTACCGCAACACATCGTCTTATTTTCACCCGAAGAAATATCATTAGCCCTTGAACTATCATTGTTCATAAGTCATAAGCCGCTGAAGCGGAGTCTGAGGCTGAAAAATGCTGATGTGTGTTTCCGGTGCGCCTTACCTGCACTTGCTGGGGCGACAGGGGCACGGCGACGGGCACGGCGACAGTGACGCCGCCCGAGGAGTCGTAGCTGTAGGCCGCCTGCGAGGGTGCGCCGTAGTCCCGGATGCCAAACCACTGGGGCGCTCTGGCAAGCAATACAGTATATTAATAAACCAAACAAAACACTCTTCAATTTGTGCAGGCTGCTACGCTACAATTTTTTTTTCTTTTTCTATTAAATGAACGAAAATGTTTATGTTTTTGAGAGGGTAGGAGCGGGATCATCCGCGCACCGCAGGAGGCTGCAGGCTGCAGCAAGCGCTAGCTGGCTTGGAGGGTTATTCGCCCGCAATGAAGTCATCATCATCATCATGAGCACAACAGGAGGGGAGCGGTAGTAGCTTCCAACCTGCTCGGTAAAATTAAAGTCTTATGTTTCTTTTTGGTTTGGTTTTTTTCTTTTCCTCTAGTAAAAATAAATTTGGAGTTATTGCTCTCTCGTGACTGTCCCTGCTGTGCGCTGCTGCGCCGCCCTGGCCGACCTAGTCCGGCCTTGCCCGGCCCATCCTCCTCCTGGACAGGCCCGGGGCATTATGCATTCGACCTGCTTCTTAATTATTCCACGTTGCCGCCCCCGCCTCGCCTCGCGTAGCTCTCCTTTTTATTTCCGCTCCTTCCCTACTGCTGTCTTTTAAATTATTCTAATAAATAGTAATCATCACACGTTTCCGGTTTTGTATTTAAAATCACCCGCGCCTTTCCCTCCCCGGATATGACATACACCAGAGTCTCCGTCTTCGCGCCGTCGACGGACGCGATGACATGTTAAAGAGGGGCTTAACTAAGTACTCACTGCGACTTGGACCGCGCCGACGTGGAGAACCAGAAGCCGTGGGAGGGCGCGGCGCACAGGGAAAGCAGAAGCGCCAACGCCTGCGAACACAACAATCGCTTTTGCACTTGGAGAACGCCCCCGTCCGCCGTACAACAGCAGCAGCAAACGCGCCCTGGCGTCACGCTACGGCAGCGGCGACACGCACACACACACACGAACACACACACAGCACACACACAAACACACATGCTCGTGGTGCCGCTGTTGGTACAGAAATCAGTCCACCACACAGAGCTCCACAATGAACCTTACGACCTACCGGGGCCCTCCGTTCGTCAGGCCACACGCACGCACACACACACACACACATAAACATACACACATACACACATACAATGTGTATGTGTAATTGGCCGACCGATTTATCCTCGGCGGCGACCTCCTAGGCGCGCGCGCACACACACGCGCACACTGTGTACTTGTCATCGACACCAAACGGAGCCACCCAGGAAGGCCTCCCCCTCTCTGCCGAGCAGAGCTGTCAATATAAACTTTGGCGAGGCAGAGAAAGTATCACATTTATTGTGTAGCCGTCGCGGACGTGTCGGCCGCGTATATCAAGACGACGACGCCGGCGGCCCCCGCGGCGGCCGCGACGACGTCGTCGCCAAGGTGAAGAAAAGGGGCGCGTCGCGTTTGTTGTCCTCTCTGCGGCCGCGGCGTTGACGGCGTGGCCATCCGGGACGACCGCAGCCTTGACGGCGCAAGGACAAGCGGTGGTGGTCAGGACCCTCCGCCGCCGGCGCCGGCGCGCCGCCCAGGACCACGTCAGCGTCAGCGACCGCCCCGCGCGACGGGACATTGATTCAAGCGGAGGGGCCGAAAGTGCGGGGCGCGGGGCGCCGAGCGGCGGGGCGGGGCGCCTGATCAGAGCTACACGCCACGCCACGCCACGCCACTTTCACGCCACGGAAAACCACAAAGGCAGCAGTATCAAACCCCTCCACCTCTCCCCAACCCCCTCCCCCTTTCCCTCCTCTACCGGAATTAGTAGTTGTTGTTGTTGATCTCAAAGGGGTTGGCGCGAGCATCAGCGAACAGTGCGTTCGCTCGCTTTCACGTCATGCGTGACGCAAGGTGGTGGGTGTAGCAGAGAGTAAGAGAATGATGGCTGAGTGGTCACAATCGACGCCTCGTTGTTGTTTTTGTTTTTTTCGCGATAAGTAGTTACTTTTTTGCCCGCGGACCCATTCAATGAGAAGAGAACTAGGTGGGTGGGGTACTTTTGACATGGGCTCTGGGTAAATAGTGTAGATTTTCATGAGAAAGATGCGCCAGCTGGAGCAATGATACGATAAAGTCAACGGATATAAAATAATCAGGATCACCCAATCACATTTTTGACACCTTACTACCTCAAATTTACAAATTGAGTGCAATGAAGGAGTAGTAATCATCTTCCTATAAAAATGGCGCAGTTCTTTGCACGACCCCTTCTAAGGAGGGGTCAGTATGGGGACTCACCGCCGTGGCCCTGAAGAGGGACGCTGCTCGGACTGCCATGGTGAGCTGGGCGTGCGGTGCTGAGGGCGGGCGGTCACGGACTGAACAAGGGCTCAGGGGGCTCGGACGGCACGGAGGACCCCACAACCCCGGGATGTGTCCTTCCCCCCTCCAGCCCGCCGGGGACCAAAAGGAGAAGAGGATCGGACGGGCCGGCGGACGGGCGGACAGGGGCCCTAGGGATTCCATACGCCGGTCTAATTACAAGTTGATGTCCGTCCGTCCGTCCGTCTGCTCCCCGCCCCGAACCTCCCCGCCCCGCCGACCCGAACCCGACGCAACCCGACGCTCCTCAACCCATTCCATGCTGCTCGGGGATGCATCGTCATGGTCAGGGCCTGCCCGACCAGTCCACTACTGCCCTCTCGCCCCGCTCTCCTCTCTCTCTCCCCGGGACTTTGGGGGGAATGATACTGTTCTATTTGCCGGCCCCCGATTATCGGAGCGTCGTCGTCGGCATCCTTGGTTTTGAACGCCGACGGCGACGCTCTTTTCGTCTAATAGGATCGTCCGGGTCCGGGACCGGCTCAAGCCGGCGTTAGGACGACTGCGGACATGAACTGGGTCCCGAGGGTCAGGAGTGACAACTGCGGACATCGCGAGCGGGAGGGCGTGTTCCTCGAACGCGGCCGGCCGACGGGATGGCCGAGTGTGACAACTGCGGACGTCCATGACCGACAGGTTGCCTACCCCTGCCTCGGCAGGCGCTCCTCCGCCTGGGCGGCACGGGACTCGGAGTGGGATTTGAACTGGGGCCACCTCGTCGCGATCACCGAGATTCACTATTCGCACTGCTCTTTCCCTTAAAAAATAACAAAAAGCTCCGCTCCTGACCACGCGACGCGGCCACCGAGGAGTTCTGAGCAGCACTGAAAGTCAACTCCGTGCTGCTCTTCCCTTTCGGAAAGGAAATATTGGCAGCCGCTGGCATTCGAACCAGCGACCACTCTCATGCTGTACGCGATTGAACCTGCCTAACTCCGTTAGCACTCAAGCGAAGTCCGGAGCCCGGGACGTGCTGCCCAGGCGGAGGAGCGCCTGCCGGAGCGGGGGTAGGCAACCCGTCGGTCATGGACGTCCGCAGTTGTCACACTCGGCCAGCCGGTCGGCCGGCCGCGTTCGAAGAACACGCCCTCCCGCTCGCGATGTCCGCAGTTGTCGCTCCTGACCCTCGGGACCCAGGTCATGTCCGCAGTCGTCCACACGCCGCTCAAGCCACAAGTCGAAGATGACGACGCCGGCCTGGCCCCCCGTCGAGGTTCTCGCAAATCCCAGCCTCGTCGGCGTCCTGGCGGCTGCTGCGTCATGACGGTACTGGATGGATACCTCTCCGTCGTTATCTGCCATTGCGCCTCGGAGACTTGCGCGCGCGGCCCGACCGGAGCGCCGCGCGACGCCATCGGGTACAGTATGTTGTAGAGCTCGTCCCGTACGGTACTGTATTGTTGTAGTGAAAGGGTGACGGTGACTGGAGCAGCTCGGCCCGAGATAGCGTCGATACGTCCCTTGCGCCCTCGGCCTGGAGGATGTCACCTCTCTCCCCACCTCCACACTCCGGCAGGCCTCGGGCAGCCGGCGGGGTCAGCGCCCTCCGGCTGCCTCCTGAGGTCGTGGATCACACACGGAGATCACTCCTTTTTATCGGGCGATGCTCCCCAGAAGAAGGGTCCCTTCTTTACCTCTGTTGCGTCCCCCTCCCCCCTCTCCCCCTCCTCGGTCCTCGGATGCGCATTCCCAATGCGGTGCTCCCACCTCACGGGAAGGGTGGGGGGTGGGGGTGGGGGGGCATTATACCTCTGATTATATCATAAAGCCACACCTCGAGCAGAGTGGGTATTGATGGGCAGCACGCCTTTCCGTGTTACTGCCGCTGCTACTGAGGATCGCTGGCACTGCCGTAGATTTGGTATAATGCAGTTGGGTGGGTGGGGAGAAGGGGGGGGGGGTCAAAATAAAAACTGAACGCATTTATTATAATAAGAGTCGGAGATAAACGATTTCGTGTGTTATTGATATTGTTGGAGGTAAAATAACTCGTGCTCCATATGAGATGAGAGGGAGCGGAGCGCTGCTGGACGTGAGATGGGTTGCCCCGTGTGGGGCCCCGGCGGCCTCTCTGCTGGACTCGGAATGATCTATTCCCGGAAATGAATTAAAAAGTGCCCCCGTCTCGTTCGGTATGCTCGGACTCGGAACAAGAAACACAGCGACAAGTCAAGTTTTAACTATTTTTCTGTGAATGCGATGTGTGGTCAATTTACTCGCTGTACGTACTACCTTGTGACTCACTGAATTATTTCATGTCAGATTGTTTTGGAAGTGTAGTCACAGTCACGGGTATGGGTGCTTTCTGGCCTAGCTGTCCCCAATAAAAGACGTCTCCTGGCAGGGACCCACTGCCTCCTGCTCCACCGGCTCTCCCCACTCCCTTGCTCTCGATGTCAAGTTTAGAGGATGCGGGGGATATTCCTCTTTTCAAATGATAACCAATCAACAAAGGCGTTCAGTGGGCGCGTTCATTCCATAACAACTCCGAAAGGCAATTGAAAATTTATTTATCGTCTCTTACATCGCTGCTGATGCGCCGACACCCTCCAGCCCGCCATCAGTCGTAGTTGAATCGACGCTTGCCGTCAAATCTAAAACACACAATTTTCTTGGTCAGATTTTTTATTCAGGTAGGCTTACGACCATGGTTAAACCAAGACAGAACAGGGTGTGAAATAACGTTAAGCACTGTAAATAAAAGTCGGAATTCCCCCCCCCCCAATATGTACAATTACTTTGGTAACAGTTTTCCGAAACACGTGGTTTAGACCGTAGGTTAGAAATAAAATCTTTCAGACAATTATTTTTTTGAAATTTTCGAACAGCTTGGAAAACAGAAACGTAGGGTAAGATGCCCTATGATGGCCACCTTAAGAATGAGCCTGCCCAATGATGGCCACCCCTTTTTCTTGTAATGTAGACAACGATGTGAAGTAGTTTGGCTCATTATGCCCAAGTAGGGACCTTACTAGAACACTACTTCAAGGCCAAGATTGTAAAAAGACCAGATTGGCTGGAAATCGAGAAAAGTGTCCATTAATGGGACAGTGGCCACAATAGGGCACCTTACCCTAAGATTTTACAACAAAACTGCGTTTACTAATAAAATGACAATTTATGAATAAAATTGGAAACATGTTAGTGAAACAGTTCATGTGAATTTTCCATAAAGTTTGGAAGATTATGTTTCCAAAGTCTTTCGATTTTTTCCAAACTTTTCGAGGTGCAAATTGTCCAGTCGATTCGATGGGAATTCCCCCAACTCCTCTCAAAAAAAGCAGAAAGCGAGTGGGAGGGGGGGGGGACCTTTTCTCCTTCTGGTAGAGACAGTCTCGGGGACTGTCTAAGAATTGTTTGCAGTGAGTCTGTCACCTGAAGCCGTAGGCCGCGGCGTTGGGCGCGTCCACGAGGGCGGCGTGACGGTGCGCGTAGTAGGAGCCGTGCGCGTGCGGCGAGCGCGCCGAGCCGTTGGGCTGGCCGAAGGCCTTGCGCGGGTAGAAGGCCTCGAACTGCCCCGCGGGCGGCAGGATGGTCGTCAGCCCGGCGTCGTCCGGGTCGTAGGCGCGGGCGGCGGGTGCGGCCGCGAGCAGCGCCACGAGCAGCAGGAGGGTGGCGCGCGACATCGTGTGGCTCTGTGGGGGAAATAGCAAGGGTCTGTTCAGAAACCACAAGGGGGAGGGGGCAGGCATAAATAATATGGGGTCCGAAAAGGATCAGGCATGGAATCCATGGAGACCCCATGATATTTCTGTCCCGGGGCACAAATATCATGGTGTCCCTGTGGACTCAGAATGACCTTCCTGATCAATTTTTGGGACCCCATAATATTTGCCCCCCCCCCCCCGTTCTAAAGTCCACATGGTTACCTTTAACAACCCCAAGTGGTGTAAGTATGAAATACATCCTAGAGGGAAACAGAACACAAACAAGCTCAATCGTACACGCTTTGCTGGCGCCCTTCTCGGTATGGTCCGGTCCAGCGCTTGCGCAGACGTGCGGACGTACAGACGCGGACGTGCGCACGGACCGCACGTACGTAAGGCCCGCACGTGCGGTGCGTGCCGAGCCACACGTGCGACGCGTGTCACGTGCAACCAGCCGCTGCAGCTCGCCGATGACGGTAATGTATTCCACAACTTTCTAGCTGGAATTCGCGTCGGAATTTTAAACCGTCCACTTACTCAGCATATGTTGTTGTTGTTGATAATGTTGTTATTTTTATCATCATTGTTTTATTATTGCAACAATTATACCAAGTCGAGAGGGCGCCACGACGGACGTTGACGCCGTCATAACATCGAAGCAGGAGAAGGCGAGAGAAGCGAGGCGTAAGTCGGAGGCCTGAACACGTGGCATTCCCTTGGCGACATACCGGCGCCATGTATCGGGTAAGGACATGGGGGAGAGAGAGAAGATTTGTGAGTGTGTGTTGAGAGGGGTGGGGGGGGGGGTCGTAGATAGTGTATGGTGGGAGGCAGGGGAGTGGAGGGGACGCGTGGCCATCAATGAAGCAGGTCGCAACTCACCTTGCGCCCCGGCGACGAGCTCGGTCGGTCGGTGGCGGGGCGTGGTGTTCTGCGGGTGCGGACTCGCTGCACGCGGGACCGGCGGCGAGGAGCAGAGCCAAGCAGAGCCGAGCGGGGACTGGGCCGGGGCTTGAGGCCCCCCCTGCCGTGCACGCCGTGAGCCGGGGCGCCGTTCACATCGCGATTCAGATCGAGGAGGGGACACCTGTGCTGAACCAGTGTCCGCCCATCCGTCCGTCCGGATCACGGCGCGGAGTGTTCCGCGGGGTGGGGCGAGGGACAGGGCGCGGCGCGGCTCGGCTAGCGCGCGAAACCGCCGCCGCTGCCACCGCGTCAGAGGGCTCCGCCGCGGCGCTCGCAGCTTTCTCTGATTCCTCTTGCTGTCCGTTCCGATCCTCCCCGCTCCCCCCCCTCTTCCTCGCTTCCTCTCCAGGATCCTGCCCCGGCTGCGCGACAACAACAACGACACGGCGACATCGGGACCGTCGCGTCGTCGTCGGGACCCGCGTGTTCGTGCAGGGGCCCGCCCGCCCCCCTCCCCGGCTGCACAACGGGCCCGGGGCCCCCTGCTGCAGCCGTGGGCTCTTCGTCATCGCGGCGATACAAATCCACTCGTGAGTATCGGGGGGGTAGTAAATGGTACTTTTCGGGCGCCGTTCCCGCGAATGCCCCTTATCATAGCGGTGAGCAGGCGGCGCTGATAGCGACGTGACTCTGATAAACGCCCCTATGAGTCGGCGCCGCCCCCGCGCCGCCCCCGCGGCCGCAGTGTGTTTTGTGATGGACTGTCGGCGGGTCATCGGCGACCTCGACGGCGACCATCCGCCCGGCCTCCACCGCCATGAGCAGGTCCTCGTACGCCGTGTGGCGCGCGCGGCTGCGCCCGGGGCGCTGGCCCGACGCCCCGCAGGAGGAGCAGGCCTGCGCCGTGGTGGTGAGCGCGTACCGCGGGCTGAAGGACGACGTCGTCGATGTCGGCCTCGACCTCCCGGTGTACGTCGAGGTGGACGAGGAGGCGCTCGAGGCGCGCCGCCGGAGTCGCCTCGAGGCCACCACGACGCTGTGCATCACGCCTGAGGTGTCCGAGGTGGTCAGCGACGAGCCGCCCACGCCGCCGCCCCGGACGTCCATCTCGGAGGCGACCGGTGAGCCCATCCAGTGCGCCACCAGGGCGCAGATCGGGCTGCCGGAGGCCGACGACTCACGCCTGGACACCGTGACCCCCTTGTCCGACGTGGAGCCGCCCACGCCGCCGCCCGCGAGGGATCGCGCCGCAGAGAGGTGGCGCGACGGTCTGAACAACAAGGAGGCCAGCAGCTCCAGCAGCTCTCGGCTCTCAGCGCCATCCTGGAGCCGACCGGACCTCGTGCTGCCGCCCCACGAGCGCTTGTCGTAAGCTGACCTGACCTGACGACCGCGTCCTCGCGGCAAAAACGCTGCTTCACCTGCACCTTCCCTCCGCAGGGTGTCGCCCACGCCGACCCGTCTCGGGGCCGTCATCCTGGAGGAGGACGAGGAGGAGGGCGGCGAGTACGGGGACGTGGTGGACGACGACGCCCTGAGCAACGCGATCTACTCGGACGTAATCGAGGACGAGGACCTGTACGTGTCGGTGCCCATCGAGTGGGACGGCTCGTACGCCTCGTCCAACTCGGACGTCTGGTCGTCGGCCTCGGGGCACCGCGGCAGGAGAGAGAGATACGACGACGACGACGGCGGCAGCCCCGAGCCCGAGGTCGCCGTCAGCCGACCACCTCGCCAGCCAGCTCAGGCACGTCCTCTGTGCACCCACCCGACGACGGTTTTTCGCCCTCCCGCAAAAACATCCCCGCATTTTTTTCATTTTCATTTTCCTTTCAGGTGATCGTGATCCGCGCGAGCAGCAACTGCGTCCCGGCCACGGACTCGGAGCCCAGCTGCGGCGGCTCCCCGTCGCGGCCACCCGACGACCTCCCCGCCGAGCGGCCGGGTGAGTTCCGCGACCCGCCTCACTGTCCAGGAGGGCCGTTATGCAACGCGACCCCCACAATTAATAAGAAATGGGGGAGAAACGAATTTGGGAAGGCGGAGGGGGGGGGGGGCGTGGACAGCTGCTATTACAGGATTACGACTGCGGCGGCGACAGGCCAGTGCCATAACCATTATTCCGTGGAAGCGCGAGGCGGCGAGGCGACGACAGAGTGGCGCGGGGCTCCCGGAAGACGCGCACGTGTGGGTCCCGGTGGGTCCCACGCCACTCGTCCTCAGTGACGGCCTCCGTGACGGCCTCCGTGACGGCCTCCGTGACGGCCTCCGTGACGGCCTCCGTGACGGCCTCGATGGTGTACCCATGATGGCCTCTGTGATGGCCTTCGAAACGGCTTCCGTGACGGCCTCCGCGACGGGTATCCATGATCGTCTCCATGTCCATGACGGCCTCTGTGACGGCCTCCATGACGGCCTTCTTGAGAGGGGTCTGGCGCTGGCGGCCTCCATGACGGCCTTTGCGGCCGCCTCCCTGGTGGCCTCCGTGACGGTCTCCGTGATGTGTGATCCGCAGTGCCGCGCCTTTCCGTGCGCCTCCTGTGCCCGCCGTGCTGCCTGGCGGGGTTCGGGCACGTCGCCGATCCGGCGGCTCCCAAACCGCCGCCGCCCTCGTCGCCGGGGAACCGCCTGGTGGCCGTCGCCCTCCTCCTGTTCGCCTTCCTCGTCAGCCTCCTCCTCATCAACCTGGCCGAGCTGCAGCGGAGAGAGGCAGCAGAGGTGCTGCCCTGCCCCGTGTTGGCTTCCATGTATCGCTTCCGGTTCTCACATCCTACTTCTTTTATTCGTCTGACTTTTATTTTTCAGAATGCTGCCGCCACAGCGACAGACTACGTGGATGTCACGACTGCAATGCCACCCTGAAGGCTTTGTTTGTCCCCGTACAGCTTAGCTCGGTTTAGTTTAAGAATGTTTATAACAGTGTGTCCTTCATGTATGTTCTGCTTCTAGTCATTAAAAAACTTATTTATAAATTCGTTCAATTTCTTATTCTTTCGTAATGATTCTGTGATGGTTGTTTTTTCACAAACCGTAATTGCCTGCCATGCCCCATACCATGCTGCCCCCGCGGCCCGCTTTGAATCTCGCGCCACATATCGATCGGGCCGCCAGGGCCCCGTGGATTAGCGGCGACTTCCTCCTGCCAAATGAACAGCGACATCTGAAAGAGCATAAGAGCATTCCAGAAGGCCGTGCGGTAAACAACCGGAACCCAGCCGTGTGAACCGTCCCCGGAACCGGCCGACTTTCATCACGATTCCGTGCAATTTTTAGGTAAAATATCATTTAAATCTTCAACTACCCTGTTTGTTCGCGGTGTGCATGACGTTTTGGGTCGCGGAGACGGGCGCTGGGCCCGGTGTCATCTCCCGTAAAGCTCTGCCGCACTGGGATCGATAACCCAACGGCTGGGCCAGCTCCATTGGCTCTGGACCCCGCATCGCGGCTTTGCATCAAGCGCCCCAGGCCGAAGCGCCGCCGACGCTAGAACTTGTCGATAAAGGTTCAATTTCCAAGTTTTTCCCTTGTAACTTTTCTGTGATACATTTTGTCGCCGCCGGCTTGCTACGGCGGTGATCGGGAGAGTCCTAATTTTGCGTTTTCCCATTGAACGTTTTTGCGGCTGACCAGGCTAGACGTCATGGCAGGCGCCAGAAGTGTACTGCTCTTTCGACCGGGAACGATTGTTCGCAAGTTTCGGAAATAATACGGAGTAACTGGTCGAAATTAGCCTGTATGCCATTAATGTAGTTCATAACGAATCTTTGAAGTGAAAACCCTTGTGAAAATTGCGTTTATCGGGGTAAAACTGTGATTTAGCGGCGCCTATTTGTCATGGCCTCTAGGCTTGAGCTGACACTTCGCAGACCGGCGTTGTAACGTTTCTACCCTTTACACTACCCTAAATTACTTTTTTTCTATTTTACGTCGAAGAAATGTATTACCCCACCTTACTTCTCTTGTATATATATTGCTAATCGGAAAACTTTTTTTTTTCTCACAAATTTCAAATTTGGACCTAACCTCTTGCTTGTTTGTTCTATAACTGTCAAACATTCCTCTTACCTTTGTTTTCTCTATCTCATTACCTCATTTTTATGACCCGCCCAGTTTGATTTTTATTTAAGAATCACATTACAAGAAACAATGTGCAGATTGGTGGTAATAATGAGTATTTCCCTTTTTGTCTTTTTCTAGCTAATACAGCACACAATGGCAGAGAAAAATGGGTTTGCACCTCGCCGAGGTGGTTTCCGTGGCCGCAATCACTTCCAAGGAGGAGGGAGAGGTCGCGGTGGTCCTCGAGGACGAGGTGGCCAGAGAGGCCGCAGCAACAATTTTAGAGGACGAGGAAGTCCTCGTGGTGGCCCCAACAACCGTCCAAATCAGCATGCCAATGCCCAAGCTAATGCTGTTAATAAGGACTGGTACGACATCAATTTTTAATCATTTCAAGTTGCATTAACTAATTATAATATCGAGTTACATTAATACATCTACCTTAATTTTCAGCACTGTTTTGGTGAGGAATCTCCCTTCTCATGCTGCAGATTGGCAAACAAAACTTACAGCTTTATTCAAGGACTGTGGACCAATCGAGAAGGTTTGTTTATCTCTTTTATTTATGTTATAAATTGTTCTCAATTTCCATGATCATTAAACAGTATCTGGCTTTTCTGTTTAGATGGAATTCCTGAAGAACGGTACTCGTGATGAAGGGGTTTTTACTTTTACTCAAGAAGATTCAGTGGAGAAAGCATTGGGTATTCATGGCTCTCTTTTAGAAGGCCGTCACATTATTGTTGATGTACCTGAAAAGAATGATGTTAAATTTGAAAATACTTCAGTTAAAGTGGAGTGTGGAGCAGGTATGTGTGTAGAGAGCTTGTAATCTATTTTAAGTCTAATTATTGTTCCAAAAAAGTAATCAATTTTTTTGCCCAGATGTTATTGAGGAAGATGTTTGGTTACACTTTGAAAGTTGTGGTGTTATCAAAGGAGTGAGAGTGAAGCATGACAATAGGAAAGCACATATACTTTTTGAAGTAAGTTGGTGTGATGCTATCCTTCATGGAAGCATTCTGATTTCTACTGCTGATGTGAGTTTCATTTTGTTTATATCTCTCTTTTAAAAAAAATCTAGAATGAAGAAGCGGTTGCTAAGGCATTGGAAAAGAATGGGTCATCATTGAATGAAGCCCCAATTTCAGTTGTTCGTTGGCGCAGTTGGAGAGCTTGCCAAGTTCAGAATCTTGGTGTTGCTGTGTTTGGCCTTCTACACCGTAGGTTTCAACTTCTATCTACCAAGATAACAAGCTGTTTGTTAAGTGTGTCAGTATACCTTCACATTGCTTATTTACGAAATCCCTAAAATTCCTTGCAGGATCATCTCGTGATGAAGTTATTAGCCACTTTAAGGAATGTGGCAACATTTGCTCAGTTTGGGTTGAATTCCCAAGAGACTCATCCATCCGCAGGGCACTCATTGTCTTTGAGGCAAGTTTCTCTGACCCCAACTTACCACATATTATCCTCCAAGTATATTTAATTCTATATGCTTCATGTTTATACAGGATGAGGAAGGTGCCAAGAAAGCTTTGCAGATGAATGAAACTTTACTTGGAAAAGATAAAATCCGAGTACGTCATTGGGATGGCCGCAAATTCATTAATGCTGTCTTCATTGGAGGAGTTCCATATGGTATGACCTACCTACTTTTTTGTCATTTGTTGTTATTTTACAATAATGAGCTTTAAGCTATGTATGCATCCTTTTACTATTCTAGGCACTGCACCCACAGATCTCTGGAAGATCTTCCAGACTTGTGGTACCATTGACAATGTTCACTTTGTACGATACAATCAGTCTTATGCTGCTCGTAGGGCTTGCATTGAATTTGAGGTAACTTTCAAAGCTGCTCTCACTTTAAAATTTCCTCTCTTCATACATCTGCTATCATTTCACACCTTGTCTTCTCTATATGTTATCAGGATCCCGAGGGAGCTAGAAATGCACTTGAAATGGATGGTATTGAAATTAAAGGAAAGGCTATCAAAGTATTTTCAAGTCTAGAAGAGTGGGATCAGCATATTGCAAACTTCAAAGAAACACAGTCAAAATCTCAAGATGCTGCAGTTAAAGAAGAACCTGAAGATGCTGAGGAAGGGGATGGGGAGATGGAACAAGATGGTGATGATGGTGCTAATGGAGATGCTGAAATGGAAGATGGTCAGGTTAGTACCTCCCTGTTATTTGTGTTTAGTTTCATTTTTTTTTTTTTTTTTTTTTTTTTTTCCGCAGATAATTGAAGCAATGATCCCAAACATTGCACTGAAATATAACCACCTTCTGGAAAAGTGTTTTTTTTTTTTTTTTTTAGTTTTTCATTTGAATATTTTAGTGACAGTGTTGATGTCCGCAGGGTGACGATGTTGCCAATGGTATCAAGCAGGAAATTGATGACGACAGCCAGCCAGCAGGCAAGAGGAAGGGTGGCGCTGGTGGTCCAACTCGCGGCAAAGCTCGTAAACTCCGGTGAATTCCTTGCAGTGGCAACTTCCATATTCATCACCTTAGGAGATGAAGATGATGTCATCGCAGCCTGCCAACTCTACCATCCTATCGTGTGATATCACATTGTCCTATTTAACGTGACTTTTCTAATGATATGGAATCCTCTTTAGCTTTGTAGTTCTTTCAATCCATGAATTTTACTTTTAATTTTATATCTCAGTTAGCTACAGGTGAAGTCAGTATTTTCTTGGCCATTTGTTTACTCCAAAAATGGGTGTCAGTGGAACAAGCTCCTGTTCAAATTTCTGTAGCCTGCACATTCTGTAGCAGTTCATCACAAGTATGCCTTGTTAAGGTATTCCTATTCTTCATTATTTATGCTGTGTGGTCATTCTTGAATCTAATTTTTATAGACTTTTATAATCATATGATATTGGACAGGTGTGAATTTACCTTAGGAGTTTTCGAGCGTAACTGATAATCAATTTTTTGTAAGGATGTGAACTGATGTATTTTAACAACAGTCAGCCTGTGATTTTAATTTTTTGTTTTAGATAGATATCAATAGAATCATTTTAATAACCGATTTTACACACAAACCTCTGCACAGTTACCTATTGCATAACACTGGTGTTTATAGGTAATACTGTTTCCTATTCCTTTTGTTTAGGATCTTTGTGGTTCTTTTCTTTATCCTTGTGTCCATTATAGTTTCTACCGTTCTCTCATTGTAATTAGCCTTCAACTGAATTTTGTCAATTGTATAACTGTGAATTGAACATATGCAAGGCTCAATTTTAAGAAGGATCCTTTTTTTGGATAATTGTAATCAAAATTGTATTTCATGATTACTGTTAGTGTCAGGTGGCAGCATTATTCCAATCTAAACTTAACAAGGTTAATCTAAAATTTTAGTGTTGGAAAAGTTATTGCAAAATCATTTTCTTTGAATTAGTAGTTGTGTAAGCATATTTATTGTTGATAAATTATCAAGACAGCTTACTAAGTGCACTGTCATCTAGTTTTAGTCTAATAGAGAGGATTTGCTGCCTTACATCATTTTGATGTGCCAACATCTATGTTGGCACAGGCAAAGAGTCTGTTCTGGCCAATGCACTTTCAGGTTTAAGTTATCTTTTTTTTATTATTCAAGAAGTTTGTTCAAAGTGGTTCAAGTGATCTTAGATCTGTTCCATCTATCCTAAAATTAAGCTTCATTTAAATTTGTCTCTTAAAGATTTGCAATTAGGTAAAGCTTGCTTTTGCTGTCAATTAGTTACTAAAACAAGTATGTAGATGATTTGTGCTGCTGTTGTATGGTATGGTGTATTATTAGTTTCTTGCTGTGAGCAGTGCAGGATTCCTTTCTCATCGTTCTAGTTTTACTCTTGTATGACATATTTTGTACGCATTTTGACATTTTTTAAATGTTTTGGATCACACCATGTGTGTTGTACAACTCCAATTGTATTATGTAGTGGCCTGCTCAATGGGTGAAATAAAAAATCTTACAGTTGGATGAACAACATATAATTGCCTTTTTAAGGACTGATTTCCAGTACTATTGACTTCTGGAAAACCCACTACCCACTACACTGCTGTCTTGGCAACAAAGAGAGCTTCAACACAGTGAACATTTGGGCAAGCATTAGGTAAGGAAAATTACAAGTCCAGTGACCTCAGTGATTTGTGTCAGTTTTACCAGTGAATATGGATGTCCCATCAAGCCCCGTAATTGTTAACTCATTACCTTCAGAACTTTTTTCTTTTACCTCTTCTTGCCAATTTCTGATTTAGACTTGAGAAAGCTTTCTCCAGATTTAGAGCATGCTTATGCTCAGATGAGACTTCTCTAATGCACTTAACTTAGTATGAATGCTTAAGATTTACAATGGTCGGGGCTCGTCGTGTACGTAGTGAAGTCCATGTGAAGAAAAGGCATGCTTAAGACTAAAAACTCGCGAAAATTCGAAAAATCAGTGCGAGTGCGAACGATGTATTTGTTTGAAGTAGGCAGCGAGAACGCGCTGAAATTTTCATACTCTTATGGAGAAGGTGGAGGATCCAGGAAGCCGTGACTACGTTGGAAGTTGAAGCGAAATTTTCACAGTGTCAAATAAGCAATGGGGTTTGATCCGCAAAGCTCCAAGGCGATTCTGCCGCTAGGAGCGCTAGCGCGTTCACTCGCTATGAGAATAAAAGAGCAACGTTTTTGAGGCGGGTCTCATTAATTTAAAGGTTTGCAAAACTTAAAACGGTAATAAATTTTTTTTGGAAATTTGTGGAAAACAGAACATAATTTAGTGGTCTGAAAGCTACAAACTTGAGTCGTAATATTTATCTGCTAATTGCGAAATCTTAACAGCTCCACTTCATTTCTCATAGCAGCCCGAGCGAGGTAGCGCACCAGCGAACCTAGCGGTCGAGTTTGGCGTAGGATCAAACCTCATTTGCTAGAGTTTTTACTCCGTGGAAATATTCTTGTTGTTTCGCCTTATGTGCTTGATCAGAGTTGTGATCTGAAAAGTCAAATTCCTGTTGTTGGGACACCTTCATAATGATAAAACTCTTCTCTCTGAAACAACAGAAAAAAGATGGGGAAGCAACTCCCAAAGGCAATCAAAAGAAAGCTTCTGCAGCTCAACTCAGGATTACGAAAGGTATTTCCCCATATAGTGAAAACTCGAAGTGTTTCCTCTTTATAAATAGCATCCTTAACTCGCTCTAAATTAAACTTAACTAGTCTGGCGAAATCTAGGAAGTACTAACCTTACTGTTATGACAGTGAAACCTAACCCACACCACTTCATTGTTACGGAACATTAATTTTTGAAGGGATACTTTAACGTTCGATTCTTTTACTTTATTTATTTACTTCTTTTATCGAGAAATGTAACCATTTTCTTCTCTGTTCTCACAACACATGATTTATCTTAGATTTGTTTTTCAATTTATATTTTGATTTTTCCTTATTTTGATCTAATTCTTCAATGTTTGCTTTGCTTGCAGATATCAACGAATTGAATTTACCGAAAACTTGTAGTACTGAATTTCCAGACCCCGATGATCTCTTGAATTTCAAACTTATTATATCTCCGGATGAGGTACGTCTAATTGTTACTTTTTGTACTTTCTCTCACTTGTGACTTATGTTTTAATCTTTATTGTATCTAATTTTTTCTTTCAATCCAGGGTTTTTACCGAGATGGCAAGTTTGTATTTACATTCAAAGTTGGACCAAATTACCCCCACGAACCTCCAAAAGTGAAATGTGAGACAACAGTGTATCATCCCAATATTGATATGGAAGGCAATGTGTGTCTTAATATTCTTCGGGAAGATTGGAAACCTGTTCTTACTGTGAACTCAATAGTCTATGGACTCCAGTACTTGTTCCTGGTAAGACAACTTGCTTCCTGCTTGAGAGACTTCTTAATTGAATGCTTTTAAGTTTACAACACTATATATATTTTTATTATTATTCAGGAACCTAACCCAGAAGATCCTTTGAATAAAGAAGCTGCCGAACTCCTGCAAAGTAACCGTCGTCAGTTTGAACAAAATGTCCAGAAGTCATTGCGTGGTGGATATGTGGGCTCATATTATTTTGAAAGAGCTCTTAAGTGAAAGCACCTGTTTGCCATGGTGTGTTTAATTGTCATCTCACCCATATTACCATGGGACATCTCACAACTTGATGTGCTAAACAAAATCATACTTTCCAAAAATTTAATACTTTAAGAAATTAACTGTGACAAAAAGCTATTTGGACTTTGTGAACATTGGTTTTCTTGTGATAAATTCCATTATTTGTTCTCTTAACTCAGACACACTGTTAAACAGAAATGTATTCCAGTGTGTACACAGTATTGTTCAGATTGATGGATCTGTAAAGGGAACATGAGTAAGGTGGAGGGGAGGCAGCCCATTGGTATATATAGAAAGGCTGTGTTGAATTAATTGTGCTTCTGTCCATCAATCTTTCAGTTGGTTTGACTTTACCAATTTTATATTATTATAGCTACCATTCTCACTTTTTCTTGTTTTGCCCTTATATATTGCTACTTTTATTGTGTGTGTATTCTTAATATGGCTCACAACATTTCTAATGTAAACATTTTTAATTTCCCCTTTTTTTTTTGTTAATGTTTAAGAGACACTACATTATAATTATGGACATAAGAACTGCTGTGTAAATAAAGAGAACTATTGTTACTAAAAATATCAACGGTTTGGTAGTCTCTTAGTTTTAATTATTTATCATTTGAAGGAAAAACCCGGAAGAGAGCATTGTACCTAGTTGTAACATTACAAGTTTTGTTAAAAGATTTATGGAAACAAAGTTGTGCACATGAGTCCTGTCAAAATATTCGTCAGCAGACGACAGCGCGCCGCTCGGCAGTGCGAGAGAGAATGCTCGCCCCGGCTGGCTCGTCCAGCCACCGGAGCCGGGCCGGAGCGGTCAGTGTGCATGGGACGACGCGTTGAGAACGGACGCACGGGAAGTGGCTGGTGTGAGTGACAAGTTCAAGTTTGGATTATCCACATCGACCACATCGCCGTCCCGGCTGCCACGCCTTCAACGAAAGCATGGAATGATGGAAGGTGCGTTTTTCTCCTGCCGCTTCCGTGCACACCGTTGCCCAGTCTTAAAAACGCATGAGCCGTCCCATGATCCATGGGAGGCAGTACTCCATGTGATGCCATTTCCCTTTGATTTTTGGCCGCTTTCCCATGGGTGGAATCTATCCCCCAGGGACGCTACCCTACTGAGAACACTGTCCCATGATAGTGAATTGTCTTTTAGGGAGTACACTTTACCATGTTGAACACCATAGCAAGTGTCACTGAAGTGATAAGACCATGTGTTTGGGATATCTGAATGGAGGTGGATCGTATGTCCAATTTTAACTGACTCAAGCCGTTTTCGACTTGCCAGAAATATATGCTCTGATTTGATTTGAAAAGAAATGTCCATACTAAAACACGTAGTAGAAGCTACAAACCAAATTTAAGATGAATATCCCTATAAACACAAGTTTTAGAGCAGGGTCACCTAGCGATGAGAATCTTCCCCACGAAAGTCCCATGTGAAATAATTTCCTAGAGCGGGGATGGAGGCACGAAAAATTATAGTTGTCTAATGTTTTGGTCTTTCAAAGCTCAAAAGGCAAAGTTGATTCCAAGATATCGAGACTTGGTTTTATAGTGGCTAGTGGTTGAATTTTCAAATTATGTTGGGCGCCAGGTCAGAATTTAAGTAGGGATGTAGTAAACTAAATATACGGTTGAAGCAAGCCATCAATCACTAAGATCGTAAAAGTAATTATTTGAGCATTGAACAAAGCTGTTTTATTGAAATATTGAGTTATAGAACCACAGGAAAACAATCAGCACTGTACAGTTCTGCAGGCAAGTAACATTGTTGGCACCCAAACCCACGTAATTACTCAAAACACTAATCAAAAGATTTTACAATACACAAAGGAATTTTGCGAGTACCAAAATATACAATGCACATACAGACATTAGGGTTTAAAGTTTCATTTATAGGAAAGACAAACCAATACTCTATAGAGTCAAATTTAACTTCTGACTAAAATGCTGTAAAGAAATATCTCCACAATAAAGACAACAGTAACTGCTATGTTTATGTTAAACGACTGTATCAATATTAAATTCAAAGATATAATAAAATACAAAAACATATACCTGGTGAGCCTGGACTTGTTGGCGGGTAGAGCAACACTATGGGGTACAGCAACACTATGGGGTACAGCGACTAAGCCACAGCTCACCTCACAAAAGGAACCCAACAAAAAGTTTTGCCGTCTTTTGATATGCTGTTATTGTTTGATATGTTGTTCCCAGCAATCCAAAACGCACAAATGGGTATCTGTTGTGTAAACAAAACAAAACATAACAAAAAATCATCTCCTCACAATTTTTTTTTAAAGCTGAGTGCCTCTCGCCCCCGATCGCTCTCCTCAGCAAGCCACTCCGGGGGGGTCCATCGGGGAGAGCCGAGTTCCGGTCGGACGCGACAGGGGCGGGTAGGCCACCAGTGCACCGGCAGTGCGTGAAGGGCGACAAGATTGCATAGCTGGCAGGCGCACTGAGGCTGGCGCGTGACGCGGAGGGCCTGACTGCCAAAACGATGGCTGACTAGACTAAAGCCCGTCGTCGCGCCCCTACTGCTGTCACCGTCGGGCCGTCATGCCCAAGTCGCCGGAGCCTGTCCGCTCCGGTCCGCTCCGGTCCGCTCCCCGGCCCGCGGTCGCGCACCCATACAGTCCTGCTGTCGCCGCACTTGTTAGTCATGTTGATGTATTCTCTCAGTAGTGGGTGGGTAGTAGTTAAACCATGGCCTAGTAACTGACATTGTGCGTATGAATGAATGAATGAATGAATGAATGAATGAATGAATGAATGAATGAATGAATGAATGCATGAATGAATGAATGATACAAATGTCGGACCAGTTATTTTCCCTCCGTGTTTTTGCTCGGTTGCCCCGGAAGTCCTTCCCATGCTTTGTCTTTGCCGCGAGTTCTCTAAATAATAGTGTAAAACTGAAAAAAACTGAAAAAGTTCATTGTTGAAATTAAAACTAGCGTTTCTAGCTTGAAATAGTACACGTGTCATCTGTAAGTGTTGTGTGTTCTAAAATACAAGGAGGGAACATTTTAGGGGTTACTTGTTCTTCTTATGGGATCGTCTGGTAAGTGCGTCCGTCCGAGTCATTCGGCAACCTACGAGAGCTCGACGCCTGCAAGACTCAGAGTAGGCCATCCCGCGGTACACGCATGTACGGCAAGCAGGAAGTTGCCTACCATCTAGGCGCTATGAAGGCTAGCGTTTGGCTGAACTTGGCAGTTTCGTAACCACAAATGACGGACGCCCTTTCTTGACGATCCTAGGCTGCTACTCTTCAAATTTTTGAACTCCCTTTTCTGGCGTTTGACTGAAGGAAAATGAAAAAATTTAAGACAAAAAAAAATAATGGATTTTTTGATGGTTTTCACAGGTCCGTCCCCTTAGGAAGTCACGGGCTCAGAAGTAACGTGGGCTGCGCGGCGAGTAGGACCTGCAGACCACCCCTCCCCAACTGACAGCCAGGTGAGTGATAGCAGCATATAGCCTCCCCTGCCCCCTGTGCCGCCCTGCCCCGCGGTTGCGAACCGCTCGCTCTCTCTGCGTCCTGCCTTACGAAAAATCAAGAATCAACTACAAATAACTTGGTCCAGGAATAACTTGGGTGTACGTTTAGTTGTTGCAAGTTTGTAACAAGAACTTGTAGCTTTTCTTGCCACGCTCGGCTCCGTCCCCGGCTGCCCAGCTCACTTTTGCCAACCCAGCTCCACCTCCAGCCACCACCCGCCGACGAGCGCGGCAGGATAGACTCTTGCTTGGTGAGTCCACTTGACTGTCAGGAGACGACCTGCCGCCGTGCGGGTGGGGGGCCCGTCATCGGCGCCGTGGGTCCGTGCCTACGGCCACTGACCTCTGATTGTCGCTGACTGAGATTTGTGTCCGTTACCTTGACCTTGCAAGGAGAACTGCCCGATGACTCATATTTCCAAATAACTTTGCACAGTGGTTCTAGGGATGTGTTTTCTGGTTAATTTGGTTATGCTAAACTCACGATAGAAGACAAAAACCCCCAAACCACTAGAAAATCCATTGTGGTTTCTACGTATATTTATGTGGATGTTTCTTGTATCCACACAGTTCCATGTGTATCCGTCTGAATTTTGACTTTTTCACGTCGCCTTTCTAATTGCCATGCGGGTTTAGCATTTTTCCTCGAGTTTTAATTTTATTTCCCATAGGGTCAGGTCGAGGGTCGGACAGGGCCGTTCACAAATAACGTCAGGCGTTTCAGGTGGGGGGGGGGGGGCTGGTTTGGGCAAAGTGTGATGAATGTGTGCGGAGCGGGAGTCAACGAGATCGTGACGTCACGCATTTTGTGAGGTGGGTAGTAGGCACCGCTATATCCAGTAAACAATTTGTCGCTAACACAAGGCTCATCTTAAGCTGGGCTCAGTTAAAATGGAGTTAAGAATCACATCATGTATTAAAGTCCATTAAAATATATCATTTTGCGTTTAAAAACTGTTATTTTTGTTCATACATATTTTTCCTGGTATTTTTGATTTGTTAAAAAAGTGATTTTTTTTGGGGGGGGGGGGCGCGCATGTGGTGTGCGTAATTTATGGGGAAGGGGGTAAAAAATTACCCCCAAAAGCGTGACGCAATTTGTGAACGGCTCACACCTCCGAAGTGGGTAATAAATGCACACACGATTTTGAACCACTTCCCTTCCAGTTTGAGGCAACTTTCGTACATATCATATGAAACGGCAGAGTTTCTTCTTTTGTGTGGATTTATACGTTTTTGACTAGGAAATGTATTCCATTTCATTTACAAAACCAACTTAAAGAAGATCCTAAAATTATGCCCCCAAAAATTTCCCACCGCTCTGCATAAAATCATGGCAAAATCACAGTGAAAATGTTCTACGGTAGCTAACCCAGGGTCTAAAGAACACCTAGTAGGTTCCACAAATCGTATGGTGTGCCGGGAATTTTCCTCCCGGGTGGAACGAACTTGATTTGGCACTATATCGTCGAAGTGTACTATTCTTCATCTAAACACTGGTAAAACAAGTGTGCAATATTTGCACACCAACGTGTGCAATTTGTGATTTTGCATATTACATGGTGTTTAACTCAAGTTGCACACTTGCGTGGTGTGCAAATTTTAGACGTTTTGTAAACGTTTAAATTCTGCACACTTGGACACACACAGTTCTATGCTGTCAATAGGGAAACATATGGTGTGCAGCTGCTATACGTTTCGGACGTGTCGAAAGTTAAACACCAATTGACGTATAACATAGTTAGACACCACAAAGTGTCGAGAAAATGCACACTTGAACTTAGACGTCAATTGACGTGCAAAATTAAACACTTGTTTTACCAGTGAAAGTATAAGAAAACTACTAGTTTTTTCTGACACGGTACTTTTGAGGGAAGTAGTTGTCGTGTAGTTTTACTAAAAGTGTACTTATGGTTAACTTTTTGTTTACTCTTAATCTTCACTCTTAAAACGTTAACATCAATGTGAAGTTTTGGGTAAGTTCGTTGCACCCGGGCTCAAAATTCATCGATCCATTTCAACAGATATTTATTTTCTTCCTACTTATATAAGGTGTGTGCATTTCCTACCCTCAGTTAAACGAGAAAGATTCGTTTTTGTGCATTTATTACCCGACCCTAGGTTCTGTATTTTCAGACTACTGCTGGTACCCCAAGACTGGGATTTGCAAATTAAAGGGTGTGTAATGAAACCGGTCCGCTGTGCAAAGTTTGTAAGATGAGTCGTTGAGGGCATTATCCTTCGACAAGGACAGACCAACCACACCACCGAGCAATAGCTTCCGAGCCTCAGGCCGAGTAGACTCGCCGAGTGCGTCGTGGGGCGGTCCTGGTCTCTTTCGGCTTCCAAGTCGACACGCGCCCCAACCCAGCACCCTCCTCGATAGACGGGCTAGCACGCAGAGAGCTGACCGGTCGTCAGTAACGTGGGAACGCTCATCTCTGCGTGTGCGAGCATCGGGGTGGTTTCAGTTTGCTCGGCAGACGGGACAGAGTCCAGTGTGGCAAGAACTCTTCTCTGAATTACTCGATATTGATTCAATGGCAATGAATAAGTAGGTAAAAGCGCAGCGATTCGTGTTGCGCTCAGGAACACCCAAAGATAGTTAAAGCTCCAACCCCCAAGAGAGGGTTCTCTTAAGTTACTCCAGCTCTAAATGTCTTTTCATAGGTGCTCGAAGTACACATTTTCAATCACAGTGATAGTGCACCCCTATGTAAGGGTTTAGGGCTGATGGCCTTCCTCCTTCATCCGTAGAGGTGCGCAACTCTGTTGTTGACTCCCACTACCTTCTAGGGCAAGCATGACGCGCAAAATGCTTTTTCTTGGTCAGGCGCAGGCGTGAACCTACAACGAACAGGGACGTTCGAAGAAACACATTTTCGTTTTTGTTTTACACATTTATTATACTTATATTTTTACAAAAGAGCTTAGAAACAAAGTAACAATAAAACAAATTGGCCATTCGCTTGGCCTTTAAGTAATCTGGAGACACCGTTGCTTTATTTTCTTATTTTAATTTGAGCATCAATTTTTACAATGAAAATTTCATGTATCGAAAATTGTTTGAGTGAGACTGCTAATTTTGTAAACTCATGAAAGCACGGTATAAATTTTTAGGCTATTGAAGGTTAGCTAAATGTTTTCTGTAACGTACAAAACCTTAGTTGATGTTGAAGCATATTGTGTTGCTCACGATATAGCTAAGAAATTGACAATAATAAAATTCTACAGGGAAACCATACTCAACAGTCTTTCACGCACACAAGAAAAATTCATCGCAACCAAAAATTGGTAGTTTTGTGCAGGCGTTGAGATGGTCATCCAGCTGTGTTGTGATCACTTTGTACATTATTAAATAATGTTTTATTTATGAGGACAGAAAACATGATTGCGGAACTACATAAAATATATTTAATTTTTGGCACGCATTTAGCTTCAGGAAGGATTTTTAGTTGAAATTCAAAATCTGATTCAGGAACAGAAATTAGTGGCTAAGAAAATTTAATGGTGGAGTTCAGCCTTCAGAAGAAAAGAGGAAAAATCTGCTAGGAATATGCAACAACTTTTTAAATGCCTCCCATTACAACATTGCAAACAATTGTTTTTGAGGCCTGTGTTTGTTTAGTCCAGCAAACCAGATAAAAACCGATCTTTTCTTCTTAACGCTGAACTCCTTCCATCCAGTGGGAACTTTCGGGTGAAATGCGGACGGCTGGTTTGAATAAAACCACTTAAACTGCACAACCCCCTCTCTCGCTCTCCGAGCAGAACCATTGCAACGTGTTCCATCGGAGGAGAGTGGTTGGCCATGGGTCAGGAACTGTGAACCAGGGTGTGGGTACGGTCGGTTACTGGATGAGCGGGCTGCTCTGCGAGTCGCTGAAGTCCAGGGCGTAGTAGATGTCGGACGCGTCGAGCAGGGGCGCCGTCTTGGAGGTGGGCGACGACCTGGGGGAGGGCGATCCGGGGAAGCTGGGCTCTCTCAGCGAATCGAGCAGCGGCTGGCCACGCGTACTCTTGCTGGATACAGAAAGAAAACAGAGTTAGAAGGCTTCTAGAAGCAGTTTTGTGGTTAATGTGAATCCCAAATGGTTTCCTGGGGCTGGGAGAGCCGAGGAAAGGTTTGTTTTATTCTTGACCCGTTTTTGGAACTTTCCCTGATTTTGTTAGAGTGTACTTTGATTTATTTAGAGCAGTTAGTGAAGTTATCTCTCGGGGTTAGCTCACCTGGTAAGGGCGGCCTGCATGGCATCCTCTCCGTCGCGCCCGCACGGCACGGCCAGGCAGCGCTTGTAGGTCTCGTGCACCCGGCAGTGGCAGGTGGCGACCTGGAACAGTCGGTCGAGTCAGTTCCGTCGCATTCCCTCCACTGTGGCGTCCTGGACGTCCTCGTGTGACACTCACCGTGACCACGGCGATGAGCAGCGCGCAGCAGAGGGTGGCGGCCGCCACGTTGAGCGGCCTCAGGTGGAAGCGCACGTCGGCGCGCTCCTCCGTCATGGCGGCGAGCTCGGCGCGCGCCGAGCCTGCAGGGATCTCCTCCAGGATCGCCTCCTCTGTAAGGTCGTGCACGTCAAACGTCAAGGCCACGGCGAGGGGCACCCCGGCTGCCCGGCTAGTGGCGCTAGAAGCGCGGTGCGATGCTAGTGGAAGCATAGCCCCGGTCCCGGCCAGCACGCCCGCTCAACCCCTTCCCCCCCTTCCCCTAACTCCCCATCGTTCTCAAGGCGGCAATAGAGTGCTAGCTAGATAGAAAATAGGCATTAGTTTCTGTGTCGTAAAACTGCGCTTGCGTTTCATGTTTTGATTGAATTTCCTAGATTTTATTTGATTTTTTAAAATGAAAGAATCTTCCGATTAATCGATTAATGCTTTCATTTCGACAAATTTCAATTAATTTTGTGAATTTTTCAGTGATTTTATCATTTAAAATGAATAATTTGGATTTTGGCTCTGGTTTTAGAATAAGCCTATTTCCCCTTGATGATGCCAGCAGCCCCATTCCAATCAAAAGCATTCGGGGGTGGAAAGAAAAAATAACAACCCAGCAATAGCCCCCTTTTCCCGGTTTGTATCCTAGTCAAGTATTTCAATTTGATTTTTTTTTTAATTTTTCAATGAAGCTTGTGGCTGTACTCACCAACTAGAGCGCGTGCGAAAAGTGCAGCGCAAGCGTAAAGGCGGCAGCAGAACAAAAAGAACCGTCATCACAATTCAGCAAAAAGCCATACTGAGTTTTTTCTTATTTCTTTAGCATCAGAGATATAGAGGCGCCATGGGGGCGGCAGGCTCAGTCCTGGAAGCGACACAGACCTGCAAACAATCTCATTAGAGGGTTACTCGTACCCCACCCATACATGCGTGCAACACACTTCATACTAAATGCTACAGGAAGCCAAGCTTCACTAACAGGCTTAAGATTCCCTATTATACACATGATGGTATAAATCTACCCCGTTAAAAATTTGACAAAGAAATAATTCCTTGATGCACAGCTCATTAAACATGAGAGGGCCAGTCAGGCATATTGTACGAAGTAGCATTTGGCTCGCTTGTTTTCAAGCAGGGGGCCTAGGGTTGTTTTCCCCTGAAGCAAAGTAAGCCCCAGTGTTGTCCCCGTATTTCCGTCTATTTGCGGGGCGATCTCTGACGTTATCTGGCGGCGTTACCGTTGCAGGTGGTCCCGGTGTAGCCGGGGCGGCAGGCGCAGTAGAAGCCCCTGTCAGAGTTGTAGCACGTCCCGCCGTGTCTGCACGGGCTGCTAGAGCAGGGCTGCGGGAGGAAAAAATTGCGACATTACTTTTAGAAAAAAAAAAATGACTTGTCTGATGAGGTGGCTTATAAAGCAAGCACACATCTCGTCACCTTTGGCGGCGCCGGCGTGGGCTTGCAGTCTGGCGGGGAGGTGCCGACGGGGCAGCGGCAGGTGATGGTGTTGCCCAGGTCGACGCACTCCTGGCCGGCCCGGCACGACTTGTCGTGGCACAGCGGGACCTGCAACAGCGCAAGTAAAAACATGTAAACGTTTCCGCCATGGCGTGAATTTTTCTTCCCAAAAAATAGGAATAATAAGGTATAAAAAAAAACACACGGTATCTGACCACGCCACCTTGCGGCCCGAGCAAGTTAGACATCTCCCGTCGTCCAACGGTGAATCAGCCGACTGATGCACAGAATTAAACTTACGCAATTAATTCGGCAATGCCTTTTTTTGGAGGGGATTTTTAGGTTGCTTTTTTGGAGGGCGACAACACGCGCGGATTCCTCATCTCCCTGGCCCTCCCCCTCCCCCCCGCGTCCCCTTTCAGCAGAGACGAGGGTGCGGTGCGGGTGACGACGCGCAGGTGGAGCTGCGGAACGGTCGCCTGAAACGACTCACCTAATTTATTGACAGACTCCCCCTCCCGCCTCCGCCCCCCGTCCCGACCCACCTCGCTCCGTCCGTATGG